GCCCAACAGAATCATCAGGACTGTATCAGGGTAAGCAGCCGGGCCAGGGAGGCTTCCCGAGGAGATGGTATCAGAGCTGAGTAGGACTTTGCTAGGCAAAGGTTGGAAAAGGAAGAAGGGTGGCCTAGGCTGGGAGCCTTGGATGTTAATGGCCTGAGTTGGGAAGAGAAATCAAGGCATGTACAAGGAATGGAGATTTTTCGAAAGGAGCTTGAGCTTGATAGGCAGATTTGAGATGTTATACCATATGGGACATACTTAAACTGAGAAAGTGTTGTTTTTTGGAAATTCAAAATTATGTGGGCATCCCATTTTTTTTAATTTACATCTAGCTGTCATGTTAAGCTGTGATTCACCCTTTTGGGATATTTGTCTTCTTTCTTTCTTTTTTTTAAAGATTTATTTTATTTATTTTATGCACACAAGAGCTGGGGGGTAGCCCAGAGGTGCTGGGGTGGGGGGATGTGAGAGGATTCACCAGAGACAGACTGGGGAGCAGAACAGAAAGACTGACTGAAATACATTGCAGAGTGGAGCAGCGGGAGAGACAGGAGAGGTCTGCTGAGACATGTGGGTCAGCACCCTGGCTGGGCATCAAACTCATGCTGAAGTGGCTGCCAATAGCCTGATAGCTTGATAGCTTGATAGTGCTGTGACTTAACCCCTTGCATCATCAGGGAGGCCCCTTCTTTCTGTTTTCAATGAGAAAAGATGATATTAAAAGGAACAGATTAGCTCTACTGTCCTTACCTGATCCATCCTACATAACAATCATAGTTACATTTCCCAGGACTTACCAGGGTTTTTATTCTGTACTATACCTTCCCAGTCACTTCACATTCAATTTTCTCAATAACCTACAGGGACAGGTAACACTACTGTTCTCAAATAGCTGATGGGGAAAGATGATCAGAGAGGTTGGGTCCCATACTAAATATACAGAGAATGCGGAGGGAGTTGGGTGCAAAATAAACCACATTTTTGTGGTTCTCCTATCACTGCTATTATGTGTTTCCATATTATCTTCCACACTAATATAGGTTTTACAAGATTGCTTGTCAGCAAAAAATTTCTTTGTATGCATAGAAGAACTGGGGTGCAGGTCAGAGGTGCAGGGAGTGAGAGGACTGACCAGAGACAGAACGGGGAGCAAAACAGGTGCACTTACTGAAATATACTGCTAAGGGGAGCAGTGGGCAAGACGGAGAGGTTTGCTGCACCATATGTGGGTTAGCTCCCTGGCAGGATAGAAGGCAGTCCTCTCTGGCTATTTTCACTTAATAGTATACAAAAAATTTCCCCCAGAAGTTTTAAGTGCTTATGTAAAATTGTACTAGAGGCAGAGGAGAAAACTTGCTTGGATTTTATGAAGTTGCTTGACAGGTAATAGACTTGGGAATTGAACCTAGAGGTGGGGAAGGCTGCCCAGTAACCAGGACAGACACGGTGATGGTCTTGTTCACTGAGACTTACAAATCTCCCTGCCCCCGCCCCCAACCACATCCTGATTTTCATACTATGTATGAAAAGTTGGAAAATTTGGAGGTTAGGAAGTTAATGAAGCAGAAAAGAACTCACCCACAGGATATGAAACTGCTATGCCATTTGGGGAAGATATACCTGGCAGGGTCTGTTAAAATTGGAAATGCCAGCTTATCATTTAGTTCTTATATTCTACTTCTAGTAAATTATTAGACACAAGTAACCCTGGGAGTATGTAAAGCTGCTGCACCAGATGTGGGTTAGCTCCCTGAGAGGATTGAACTCAGACCTCCCTCGTCAGGGGATATAAAAAAAAATATTTAAAAAACACTGTTTAATAGCACCAAACTGTAAATAACCTGATTAGCTATGATTAAGGGAAGAGTTTCTATTTTTTTTTAAAGATTTATTTATGCATACAAGAACTGGGGTGTAAGGCAGAGGTACAGTGGGTGAGAGGATTCACCAGAGACAGAGCAGGGAACAGAACAGGCAGATTTGACTGAAATACACTGCTGAGGGGAGCAGTGGGGGAGACAGGAGAGGTCTGCTGTGCCACGTGAGCGTGGTGCAGTGGCTGGCGACAGCTAGGTGGCACCGTGTCTTTAACTCCTGAGCCACCAGGGATGCCCAGAAGGGAAGAGTTTCTAGAACCCTATACCATGGCATCTTTGTTAGCCATTAAAGAATCCATTATGGACATGAACTAGAAAGATGTCTATGATAGATTCTTAGGGGATGAAGAGCAAATGTAGTGTAAGTTCGCAGCGACTTAGAGTTTACATAGTATATTATTTTATAGTTTCAAAAAAGGAAGATTTTTTTTTTTGTAATGTGAACAGAGAAGAGAGTAAAGATACACACCAAACTTAATATTACTTCAGAGGACAGGTGCAGTGGGGGAGGGGAGAGAATTAGTGAGTTGTATTTATTTATTTATTTTTAAAGATTTATTTATGCATACAAGAACTGGGGTACAGGCCAGAGGTGTGGGGGTGAGAGGATTCACCAGGGATAGAGTGGGGAACAGAACAGGTGGACTGACTGAAATACACTGCTAAGGGGACTAGCAGGTGAGTCAGGAGAGGTCTGCTGTGCCCTGTGAGTCACCTTCCTGGCTGGGGATCGAACTCATGCTGCAGTGGCTGCTGGTAGCTTCATAATTCCGTGTCTTAACCTCTTGTGCCACCAGGGAGGCCCCCAGAATTAGTACATTTTAAAAGAAGTATTCCAGTATAACTAGAATTTCTCCATTTAGAATGTTACTTTGAAAAAAATAAACTTTTTAAAAAAACTTACTAAAATACACTTGTATGGGAAAAAAAACTCAACCCCTAGAGAGTCTCTGTAAATATTTTGATGTCTTTTCTTTACTGGCTTCTCTATGAATATTTTGCATGCATCCAGTATGTACAATTTTGTAGTTTGCGTTTTTTTTCTTTAATATCATTTTGCGCATTTTAACACCAACAAATCTCCTTACAGACACTTCATAATGGCTGCTTAAGAACCCATCATATGGGTTACTTAACCAATCCCCAATTTCAGACATTTACTTTGTGTATGACTTTTTCATTATTATAAATGACATTGGAAAAATGTGATTGTGTATTAATTTTCAAGTGCAAACATAACGATTAAGTGCCTGTTACTTCTCAGGTATGCTCTTGGCACTGGGTTTATGGTCTGGTTAGAGTCAGATAATCAAGCACACAATTTGCAAATGTGGTTAATTTCCTCCCAACAGAATCTCAGAAGAGGAATTACTGGTTCAAGAGGGTATGATCATGTTTATAGAATTTTATTTTTTGGGTCATACTGGCTGCCAAATTCATGGTCAGTAATTTTGAGGCAACTTAGAAGTTTCCAACAGTATTTGAGAATGATTACCTATCAGACCCCTATGTATGTTTTTCCTGTTATCACTTGAAACTGATTTCTAATTTGGTGGGAACCCCCCCCACCCCTCAATCCTTCAGTCATCTTATAGTTTGAGTTTGCATAATTATGGCTAGTAGAATATTGACAAGTTCCACCCCCCCCCCCAGTAGTTTCTTCAACTAGTGAGTCTCTAATGAGAGTTCTATTCATGGAATGTTACTTTTCTTCAGGTATGGTTTATAGTCCTCTTTTTCACAGGTGTTTGATATTTCCTTTCAAACTTATTATGTTCTTACTATTTCTAGGATATGTTTCTAGACTTTCTATTCCCTTCTGGGTTCTGCAGTGCACTGAATTCAGTAGTTTTATAATTTGTTTTAACGCCTGTTAGAGTGAGTCCACCATCATTCCTTTTTTGTTCTGAGGAGAGAAATAAAAGCTGTTTTTGGCTATTAATTCTTTCAGGTGAACTTAGAATTTTGTTAAGTCTAAGAAGTGTCCTGTTAGGGATACATTAGATTTTATACATTTGGGAAGGACAGTGGTATAATCAGCCTTTCTGAGGGATTATTGCATTTGTTTTCAATTTTGACTAGTGCCAGGGCACAACTTCCCTACACAGCAAAGCTGGGTTCCGCTCAGACTTTAACGGTGGTATGTTCCTTTGTTTGGTGTTCAAAGTAGCATGAGGTCTTTTACGAACTCCCTAGAAAAGTGGCCACCACTCAAGGTCAGCTCCAGCTCTCATAAGGCCATCTGAATGATGAGTCTGGGTCTGAGAGGGCCAGCTTAGGCTCAGTTGCTTGACCCCAGAGGCCTGGAGGGGCTGCGGTCACCGGAAGGGGTTGGCTAAGCCAGGCAGGCATGCTGGCGACCTCAGGGTCCTCTCAGCAGGTAGGGCCGCCGCCCGTGGGGCATGCTGGCACGGGCCCTGAGGGGTGCTGGGGTGAGGGATAGGGGCGCCCCTTCACCTTATCCAAACTGCTCAGGCCTTCCCCTGGGGACTAGAACATGTCGCCTGCAGTCTCCCCGGCTGTGCCTTTGACGCTGGGGCCTCTGCGGGGGGCATGGAGTAGGGGTGCCAAGGTGTCCGGGAGGTGGGGCGCAAGCGACTACTGGGGGGATTTCGAGGGTCAGGGTCGGGCTTTAAAGGGGTCAGCTCTAAATGTAGGATTTGGGGTGGGCCTGTGGGGTGCTAGGGTCCCCTATCCGGGAGCTGTGCGAATTGGGTATTTCGGGGGCTAGGTTGTTTTCCCGCCCCGCAACCTAGTTGGGTCCAAAAAGACCCCCAGGATCTGAGTTCAGGGTGCCTCCTACGCGCCCCTCCCCCCAAGCCGCCGTCCTCGGGCCGGCCGCCCCGCCCGTGCTAGGACCGCACGCCGGTCCGTCCCCGCCCCCTCAGGCCCCGCCCCTACCCCACTAGGCTCCGCCCCCGGCCCGCTGCTCGCCCATTCAGATGTGGGTCAGGGGTGAGCGGGTGGCGCCGACGTCACAAGCTTCCAAGATGGCGCTGGGCGGGCGGCTGTAAGCGGCGCTCGGGTGCGCTGGGCGGGGAGCCGAGCCGGGCCGGCGGCAGGCGGACGAGGCGGACGGGGCGGGCGCGGGCGGCGCGGGCCGGGCGCCGAGGACGAGGGACCGCGGGCAGGGCCGGCCGGCGGAGCGCCGCCGCCGACGCACAAGAGGTGAGGGGAGACTGGGGAGGGCGGGGGGCGCAGGCGGGGGCCGCAGGCCGGGCGCGCCCCCGGGGAGATGGGCGTGGGCGGGCGCGCGCCCGGCAGACGTGGGTCCTGCGCGCGTGAGCAGGGTGCGCGCGTCGGCTGGCCCGGGCCGGGGCGTACGCGGGACCCCGGCAGTCTCAGCCCGCCCCGGCTTTGTGGTTCTGCTGACTGGCGGAGAGTGGGCGGCAGAAGACCCTGGGCACAAAGCCCCCGGGGCCGCGCCATGCCAGGGCGCGGGTCGGCGGAGCGGGGGCCGGCGGGCGAGTGAGCGCTGGCTCTTTGTGCCTTTTCATTAGCAATCTAATCCGAACAACGTCGGACGAGCTGCGCTGCCTGACAGGCGGGCGGGCTCCCATTATGCAAACAGCACTGCGCCCGCCTCTCGCAGGGGATTTTGTTATTTCCAGAACTGTGGCCCTGCACTGTCTTCGGTCCCCTTCACTTGGCCCCTCCTCGCAGAAAGACCGGCCTGGGCTGGGTCAGAGTCGGACCTGGAGGCGCCGCTTACCGAGGCCGGGCCCTGTAGCTGGTGGGCTCGTTGCCCTGCCCCCAGACCTCTCCTGTAGGCAGCCGCTTGGCAGGAAGAGAGATGGGCTTGGGGGAGGGGATCGGCTGGCAGAGGGAGGGGGGGCGTTGAAGGGCCCCACTTGTCACTCTGTTTATCTACCAAGATGGTTCATACACAGGCCTAGCTGGTAGTGGTGGTGGTGGGGGGCGGGGATGCCTCTCCCAGGGGGGTAGTGACTTACGGAGAGGAGGGAAGGCGGCCAGATAATGCTCCCAGCGGCCCCACCCAGAAGAGCGTGGGACTGCCTGGGGAAGGAACCCAGTACTGATCTGGGTGGGCTGGAAGGGTTTTGAAGTTATTTATCCTTGTCTTCTCCTATTCCTTCCACCCCCACTGTCTTTTTCTAGTAGGAGTTGCCAGGCACATCTGGAAAGCTAGGTCCCGTTCCCCTCCACCCCCCCAACAGCAGTAGGGGTGTAACCCAGGGAGGCCACCCCTCTGACATATGTGGTGGGGGGGAGGGGCAGAGCCTTGCCCATAGGAATCCTGTGGCGGTGGATTGTTGACTGATGTGGGGATTGCTGTGCCTCTTGTGCTGGGGGAGGGGGAAGAACTGGCAGGTAGTGGAGGGGCCTCCAGAGCTTCTAGGCTGAACTTGGGGCTGTTCTCCAGGGACCCCAGATGGAGCTGGGTCACCCAAACCCAGGACTTTCCTGGAGCAAGCATTTATTGCTTCCTGGCTCCTGGCTTTACTTCTTCCTCTCCATTCCCATCTGCCAGTGTCTGGACTCCCTGGGCCTTTCAGCAGACATTTTCAGGAGCACAGGCCATGTGGCTGGTCTGTAGCCCTGGCTCAAGGAGAGAGTGTACGCTTAGCAGAGCAGGGTTGTTGGATTGGTCTGAAAAAAAGCAGATGGGCCGGTCGCAGGCTGGCCTCTAGAGACAAAGCTTTGTGAGATTGCTGGCTTACCAGGCACTTAGCACCAAGGGGGCTTGGGTGGGAGGCTGGTACTTGGGGGCTGAACTGAGTCCTTTGACCCAGGACTAGTCACCCTGCCAGTGAGGGAACTTTTAGTCCTGTGCAACTGAATTTATGAAAATCTCTAGGTTCCTTGTACAGGCAGTAGACTTAGGAGGTTGGGAAGGGGCTCCCCACCTGCCTGAGGGTCAGAGCTTCCAAGGTTTGTCTGCTTTCCTTTGGATCCTGACTTCCTGAAGGCCAGTTTTGAGGTGTTGCTTAGTGCCTGTTAGTCGCCTTCTGTCATTGTTTTTCTCCAGTGCTGGTGTGTGCCCAGAATTTCTCCCTGCAGTGTTTTCCTGCCAGTTGTTGGGACTTGTAGATTAGTCACTCTGCTTTTACAAGTGATTCCTGAAAAGAAAAGTCTCTGGTTGCTGGCTGTAGGTAGAGGAAGAAGCTGCCTGAGGGAGTCAGGCCTTTAATTAAAGCAAAACTGAAATGATTGCTACAATTACTGGAAGGAGATGGGGAGGTGCAGGTGGGGCAGAGTTGATGTGCTAGGTACCTGCTCTTGGGACAGGTAGACAGGATCCCATCTTAACTCTCTGGTCTTGGCCAGCAGCCCAGCCTTCTCCACAAGCTGCAGTCTTGGATGAATCCTCACTTAGTGTTTTCTTTCCATAGATCAGATTTCTCATTTTGTTAATAAGCACAGCCTCCGGTCCACTTGAAGTCAGCTGTTGTGGACTGAGGCAACAGGGTTTTGCATTATTGAGCTGACAGGCCTGCTGCCTTCCTGGAGTCCTTATTGTCTGCTAGGGTGAAATTTGGGGGTGGGGGTAGTGTCTTTTAATCAGCAGCTAGCTCCTGAAGGGCTGGCTGGGCAGTTTTGGAGAGTTGGAAGAGTGAAGAAGGAATAAAGTTCAGTTTACCCAGGGGACCTGTGGCTCTGCTCTTTTGCTTGGCCCGTGGCCTCAAGCAGTCAGCCCCACCCATGGCTTGCCTTGCCCACAGGGGCTGAGGGCCACAGCCTCTAGTGACCTGATCGTTAGGAGGGTGGGGGCTCATTTTCCTGGCTGTTCCTGCTGCTTCCAGTGGCTTTCACCATTGAGAAGAAACAACAGATCAGGTTCTTCCCCTCTTGGCTCCATGTGGATCCTGGCTGAAGAGGGCTCCTAGAGGGCAGTGAAAGGGGAAGTGTGACACTGGCCCTGCTGTTTACTCTTTATGTAACCTTGGACAGTGATTGAGCCTTAGTGTCCCTATAACTAAAATGGGAACAGAACTTAAGTTTGCATTCACATATGGCTGCCCTCCAGAGCTCAGCTTGGGCAGACAGACAAGCAAACAAACCATTGTAAGATGGTATGATAAGGGCTGGCAGTATGACCAATGGAGCACAAAGGGCACCACGGGCATTTGAGGCATAGTAGGAGGGGCTGGCTCTGGGCTGGAGGTGAGCCAGGGATGCCTTGCTGAGTTTAGGTTGTCTGTAGGAGAGGGGTTTTATTTTATTTTTTTTTTTTGAAATTGATTTATTTATGCATACAAGAACTGGGGTATGGGCCAGAGGTGTGGAGAGGTGAGAGGATTCACCAGAGACAGTGGGGAGCAGAACAGGTGGATCTACTGCTGAGTGTAACAGTGGGCGAGACGGGAGAGGTCTGCTGCACCATGTGGGTTAGCTCCCTGGTTGCTAACCCAGGGATGCTGCAGTGGCTGCTGATAGCTTCATAGTGCTGAGACTTAATCCCTTGCGCTACTAGGGAGGCTCTAGGAGAGGGCTTTTAATGGGGAATAATTGCATTCAGTTTTAGAAAGTTGGTGACTATGTGGCCCGTGGCAGGGGAGACAGGAGAATGGTGACAAAGAGTTTGACCCTGTAGATGCTGCTGTGTAGAAGAAGCTGGCACGGTAGCACCCACTGCACACAAGATACCTGTAAGACTTTTTCACAAGCTTTTTGTTTATTCAACAAAATTTTCTGAGAACAAATGCAGTGCTTAGTGTTGATTAGATTAAATTGGCTGATCTCTTCCCTCTGGTGCTTACACATTTGCTAGCAAGTGGTCAGCCTTAAAGGACTGGGAGATAGTCAATTTGGAGTTTTCTTCTATGGTCCTTACAAACAGGTAGACAAGACCCAGAAGTTAAAAAACTTGCAGGGGCTGAAACCAGGCAACTGGTCAGACTGAGACTGTAGTGTAAATACCTTTGATTCAAGAGCCTATGAGGGCCAGTGTAGTGTGGAGTCTGGTGAGGTTTGAGATCCCATCAGGGAGGGATGGGGGTGGTGGTGGGGGAGGCGACAGAACCCTCCCTCCCCAAGATGATCCTGGCTCATGGTTGGGGGCTTCTGAACAAGTCAGATCAGTTTTAACTCTGCCTGCCACTGCCTTGCTACACTTTTCTGCTGGGAGGGCCTTGTCCTAAGGGTTAGGAACCTGGGCTGGGGGAGGGTGCTATGAGGGACTGCAGGCTCTCCTTAGAGACCAGTTTTAGTTTGGAGAGGCAAAGCAGGAAATGCAGGGGGGGATTTGTGTGCCCCCGTACCCAGTGAGCTTGATAAGGAAGGGACTGACTTCAGGAGCTGACTTCAGGTCCTGCCACAGACCAGGTGGGAATACCAGGCCAGGGGTAGGTACCTCTGCCTTGGGAGTGCTGGACTGAGTGGGGAACGTGAACCCAAGAAGTGACCAGGGGAGTTCAGAGCCCCTTTTGTTTTCATGTTTATCTTGGTAATGTCCAGTGTGGGTGGAGGGCAGGGTAAGTGTAGCTTTGGGGTTAGAGCATGTCATTTTGCTGGTGGTAGGACAGACAACTGCCTCTAGGCCACAGAGCCCTACGGCTGCATGTGAAATGCGTCGTGCATAATGGGTGCCTTCTTCCTGTTTGAACATGATCACCTCCCCTAGCATGTAGGGTGTGGGTGAGGAGGAAGAGTGGGGTGTGGAGGGGCAGGTGTCCCAGTTTCCTGAGGCTGCCCTGCCAGCTCTTTCCATGCATCCCCTCAGAATTCCAAGGGCCACCAAGGAGCCATGGGGCTTGGGCTTGTCTAGGGAATACTGCTAGGTGGGGAGTTGACTTGTGGAGATGGATGGCTGCTGGCTCAGGCATGGGTGTGGCCACCGTGCAGACTTGTCCCATGTATTTCAAGCTGTCACATGATCACAGGCATTTTTCCCAGCAGCACCTCTGGGTGTGTGGGTTCTCATGTGAGTGGGGAAGGACCCTCTGGTGTCTTGAGAACAGTGCCTCCTCTCTCTCCACTCCCCTCCGCCCTTCATAGGAGGTCTGAGCCACCTTGGCCTCTTTTCATCTGTCTGGTTGGAGTCCTTTTAGTGGGGAGACCTGTCCACAGGCTTTTCAGTTCCCTCACTGTATTGCTTTGGAAGGTAGTATGCTCTTGATGATTTCTTGTTCTCCAAGAAGGGAGAGTAGGGTCGACGGCTGGGAAAGTGGGACCTGGGACTTCACTGGTGGGGCTCTGTGTGGACA